TCCCAGGAGCCTGCCCTGCATCCCAAGACCCTCCCCCAGTGATGCCCAGACCTCACCCCTCGGTTCCTGTTAACTTTGTTTTATAAATAAATTATATAAATAGGCTCCTCTGATTCCTTGGAGCACGCAGTGTTTAGGGACTGGGGCACTGCTGCAGGCATAATTGTACTACCGAATCCATCAGCTGCCTAATTACCATTCATTTTGCATTTATTTCTGCTAATTAAAAAGAGAGAAACTCCTAACAACTTTTACGTAAATACTATATTTGTTCTATGTAAAGATGGGATGCTAATTTGCTGGTGATTAGCTGATTATCTAATTTTATAGCTGTCACACAGGATGGCCCTGTCTCCCCTTCACACCCCGAGGCCCCCAATCAGGTTTGGGGGGAAGGGGTCAAGGGAGTGGATGGGTAAAGGGCCTGCTGAGGCCAGAGGTTACCAGCAGCACCAGCAAGGGGGCTGCAGTCTGACAGATAGGGCTGAGAGGAGCCTCTGGCTCAGCCACTGTTTCTGTACGGATGGGGAAAGTGAGGCCCAGAGAGGCCAGCACTTCCAGCAAGACAGTGGCAGATAGGATGCTGTCCTAGGTGTTTGAACTCCCTCTCCAGTGCTCTTTCCACTTTTTCCTGCTATTGTCAGGGGGATGGCTTTTTTCTCCTGCTGAAGAACTAACTAGCCAGACCAAACTCCAACTCTGTGGCCCAAATCAAGCCCTTTATGTGCCCTTCTAGAAATCTGTACGTCCTTCTGCTTCACTGTCCAGTCCAGCCCTATGACTGCATATAGTGAGGTTCTGTCTCTCCGACTAGCTCGAGACCTCCCCAGGGCTCCAGGCCAGGCCTTGTGTATGATGGGCTACTTGGACAGGTGTGAGGGTCTAAATTTCAAATTTAACATTATGAATTTCAATTTCAGTTTCATTTTATTATTATGTATTTATCAATTTAATTTATTTTAAAATTTAATACTATGAATTCCTAATTTTAATTCTATGTATTTATTTTAATGTGAATTATGATTACCACATCAAATAAATCAATTTTGATACATCAATTGTGACATATTAAAATACGATTAATACATCAAACCCATGATTTCGTAGATAATATTGCTCTTAATGAGTGAAAAGAAAAGTATGTGGTTTCAAGTGACTTCAATAACGATACACAACACTAAGATGGAACTCAGATGTAGCTCACAATACCTGATAACTGAAGTTGAAGTTGTTTCGTAAGTTGAGGGGGTTGTAAGGAAGCCAGGCAGGGGAGGGCAGGGTCAGCAGAGACTTGGAGCTGAGTGGGCCAGTACCTGCCTGGTGACTATCATTGCCTATGGCCAGGCAGACAGTCCCCTGGATCATGCCTGTCTCGCCCCAGCTGTGCACTCAGTCAGAATTAGCCCAAAAGAGAGAAGTCATTTGCCCTCTTCAAGGCAGTTTCATGGAGAGTCTGTTTGAGGGAGACCAGGAAGTCGGAGTCTATCCCATCTTGTACCAAGTGACCAGGTGCTAATGAGTGACTTCACAGGGAGAGCCCCTGGTGGGTAGGCGAGACCCCAATGGGCACTCTACTCTTTTCCTGGCCAGTCTGGGAAAGGTCAGTTCTCAAATTTAAGGGAGAAAGCTTTCAACAAAGCCAGGTGGTGTGTGGTGACCAGAGAGTTCAGGGTCAGGGTCACTGTGGCCCAGTGGGGATCCAGAAGCTTTGGAAGCAGAGTGCCAGGGTTCCAGTCTGGCTACAGCTTTCTGGAACCTCAGTCTCCTCCTCTATAAAATGGGGGATGGTTGTGCATGACAGTTCTCTTCTGAGAACCACGTGCAAAGTGCCCCCCAGAGAAGTACTCGGTGCAGTGGGGGGCAAGCCCAGTTCCAGGCCTGCTCCCCTATAACACCCACTGGCCGCCACAGTGTCTGTGTCTGTGTGAGGCAACCCCACTGTCGCCAGAGATCTCCTGCTCATCAGCCCTTTTATCACCCTGTACGCAATCAGGGGAAGCCTGGAGTGGGCAGATGGAAAACAAAGAGAGAAAACAAAGGCATAGCTCCGAGGAGGCCAAAAGGCACCTGCCTCCTCCCCCTGCTGCCTGACAAGCCTGCCCCAACTGTCCCACCAGCATCAGACCTTGGCCACCCTCAGGCTGTAGGCAACCTACCCCTCCCCTCCAGAAGAGCAGCCTGAGACCTCACACTGGGTTCTCCTTGGGGCAGGCCCAACCATCTCTAGGGCCCTCCCTCCCCCAGCCAGTCCTGGAAAGTCAAGGTGGTGCCCATTTTTGCCCATGGAGAAGCCCCCAGTGTGCCCCAGGCAGGGTAAGGTAAGCAGGAGGCCCCTGTGTACTGCTGAGATCTCTGGCTGTGTCATCAAAGCCTGTGTATGGGGTGGGTGAATGATTTCAGCATGGGGGGCTTGCTTAGTCTCAGCCCTTGGTTGCTGCTGCCTTTGGAGCCTCTCAGGAAAGGAAAACTCTCCCAACCCCTCCAGGGAGATATTAGAAAGGAGCAATGCAGGCCAGGCTGTTTGGCTTCACATCCTAGCTGTGTGTCCTCCGGGTGGTTTCTTAACCTTTCTGTTTCCCCATCTGTTGAAAATAGATACAGTACCTACTTCAAGGTTGTGATGAGATTAAATAAATTAATTCACATAAAGTACATAAAATAACTAAAGATTCTTTAATGTTAATTACTGTTATGCAGTTTTATCACTGTTATTATGATTAGAGGGGGACTTATCAGGAAGCTTGTGAAGTGTAAGTTTCCCAGCCCCACCTCACTGCCCCACTCACTATGGGTCCTTCTCCCTTCCTGCTCCCCTACCTGCCTATGCCCTGGTAGGCAGGCAAGAGTGGGTAGGGCCATGGGAACCAGGCAGCCCAGTTGGTACAGTTGCCCCTGCAGCCACCCCTGGATGGCTGGGTCTGTGCCAAGCCCCAGGTACATGCCGGTTGCAGGCCCAGGATGGTCCCTGCACTCTGGGAGATCTTGGGGTAGCTGGAACCACAAGATTCACACCTGGAAGGGAAAGATGTGGGCATGGGAGGGCAGTCTTAGACCCCATCGTGTCAGGCATCTCAGAGAGAGGAGTCAAGAGAGCACAGAGGTCTTAAGGGCTGGACATTTGGACCTCTGAGGACTAGCCCTTGGCCGTGGAGGGCCCCAGGGTGGGCGCCCTGGGCCCTGGCGCCTCCAGCAACAGCAGGGCCTCTCGGCTTGGGCTATGACAGGGACATTTATAACTCACAGCTGTGCGGTCCTGGGCTCAACTGACTGTGGTAAACCGATCTGGCTTCAGGAAGTCCCTCCCGAGGCCACTCCCCACCCGACCCCCACACTCTCCTTCACCTCCTGACACCCACATCCTGTTCTGAGCAGGAGGGGCAGACAGCTGGGCATGGGGCCAGGGGCCCAGCCAGGGTCTCTAACCTGTGGGCAGAATAGGAGAGGACAGGAGAGCATCACTGAGGCCCCAGAGCTGTGAGGTCACCTGGGCCTGCCTCTCAAGGCACACATGGGGAGACCAAGGCCCAGACATGGCATGAGGCTGCCCCACGAGCCTGCAGGGTCAGAGGGCTTAGAGCCCAGGTTGCAGAGCTCAAGAGCATGTTCTGTGTTTCCAAGTATGTCTAGAGAGGGGATTAGCCTTCCAGCCCTAGAGGCCCACTTCAATTGTTTCTCTGGCCAGGTGGGACAGGGAGAGATGACCACAGACCTCAGAGGATGCCGTGAAAAGACGTCATCCTGCACCCTGGGCCTCAGCATGGCCTGCAGCCCTTTGGGTATCCTCAGGAGGTCCTGTGTCCATCTCTCTGGGTCACCTCAGCTCAGGTATGGGGCTAGAAATGGTCTCACCCAGTGCTGGAAAGCGAGGACAGTAATAGGCACTCCCAGCACACCATGCTGACCCTGTGTCTCTGTTGGCCTCACGGATTCTGGGGCCCCACCAGCCAACCAGCTCCTCTCATGCCTCTTCTCCTTCTGCACAACATGAGGGGTGATGAACAGTGGGGCGTTTGCCAAGCCTTGGCCCATGTACCTCTGCTAGTGTGTGACAGGATTCTAGCATTAGGCAGTGCCCTCAAGAACATATTTTTTTATTAATTATAATTTATTAAGGTATATTAGAAATATATAACTAGCCTGTGAAACCAGTTATTTCATAGACATGATTGCTTTGGACAAGGCCAGATTTATTGGAGCTTTAAAAACAAAAAGTAAGTTGAAGGTGAATGTTAATTAAGTCGTGGCACAGGTAGGTCACGGCTCAGGACCAAGCATTGTGTGGAGCATGGGGGAAGAGCTGAGGTTTGGGTAACACAATGTAAAATCATCAAAATGGTTCTTTTCGGCTTTCAACCCTACGTCTTGGCCTTCGCCAGTTTTGAGCAAAAGAGCCGACCCCAAACTTGTAGGAAGGTCAAGAAGAGTGAGCCAGTTTGCCAAGGAGGTGAGCGCACGCGTACGGTGGCGCCAAGGGTTGGGCAGAGATCTGGTGAGCAGTTCATAATGGGGAAAGAATTCAGGCAGGGGTCAAAGAGTGGCTTTGGAAGTGGCTGCCGGCCGGCCGTGTGAGATAATTCCCCGAAGCCAGGCACGGCACTGAGAGGAGACGGTGGCAAGGGCTTTGTAGGCTCAGCTAAAAATACCCCCGACAGCTTCTCCCCTGTCACCCTGCCTGGGGGCCGCACAGGAAGGTGATGGCTTTCTGCTTTTTTTACCGTGAAGAGAAAGACAACAACACAAAATCTCCAAGCCCCTAAAGAAACAAAACTTGTATGTACATATATTTAAAAATCCCACTAGGAGGAACTGGCTTGCTTGTGAGAATGCATCTGGGCAGGGAAAACACAGCCACCTCTGATAAATTAGGCAACCCGGGGTGTGCTTAAGTGGCCCAAGAGGCCACTGAGATTAGCCTGGCAGTGGGGACAGAGGTAGGAGGGAGTGGACGGCTGTCTGAATCCCTGGCTGCCTACACGTGTCCTGTCTCTCTGTGTACCCAGGAGGAAGAGGAGGCCTGTTGGTGTCAGACCAATGCTGCAAGGGGTGTGAGGACAGGAGCCATCATCCATCATTGAGCTGCCAGACCTGCAAAGGTAACACCAGACCCCTGACACCCACCACCCTCGCCCCAAACTTGGGCAGGGGCAAAGTTAGGCTCCTGGATGTAATGAGCTACGCCAGAGCTGAGGGTTGTCATCCCTTTGTTCCAGCCTCTCTTCTCCCTGGCTGCTGGGCTTCTCTGTAACTCCTTGTGTGGTGCCCACACTGCCACAGTGTGCTCTGGCCTGGAGTTCATCTCCGAAATGGGTATTGGGCTCAGGTCCTCCACTTAGTCCAGTCCTCAAGGACTCTGTGAATCGGTGCATCTGGTTGTTATTTGGAGTTCAGCCATCTTAGCAGCCTGGCTCAGTTTGAACTTTAGGGCTGTAACCAGGGGTCCCAGCTCCTGGGAATATAGCATTATAAGGCTACAAGTTCAACAGAGCCAGATGGGGCTTGAGAAGAGAGGATTTTCCAAGGCAGACCTAGCCAGAGATGTGTTTCAGTGGAAATGTGGCTGCTGTCTCCTTTGTGGCAGCATTTGAAACTCCACATTGATCTTCCTGGCAGCTTTGGGCAAGAATTATTGTCTGCTTTTCAGACCATGAAACCAAAGCACAGGGAAGCTAATGGGCCTGCCAGGGACCACACAGCAAGCTCTGGCCACACGGGGCAGCTTGGCGTTAACCTGTTTGCCATACCACCTTCTTCACTTTGACTGCACTGCACTGATTTGACCCATTCTCCCCAGAAAAGCCCTGCGATTGAACCCAAGCAACCACGAGTCTTTATTGTGTGCCTGTGGTGTGACCCCTCCATCTACCCATCATCCATGCATCCGTTCACCTACCCATCTATCCCTCTCACCATCCTTCTGTCTATTCATCCATCTACTCATCCACCCATCCTTCCATCCATCCCGTGCATCTACCCACTCCACTAACCACCCAGTTACTCTTTCACTCACTCACCAAACATTCACTAACCCTTCCATGGGGTCAGGCCTGCACTAAGGCTGGATTTTAAAGATGGAGCGGATATAGCCCAGCTCTGGGAGGATGCTGTGTGTGATGGAGGCAGACTCAGGATCCCAGAGCCAGACTGAGTTCCATAAGGGCAGCGTACAAAGCTTGTTGGTATATGTGACTATACCCAGGAGGAGAGGAGGAACTGAGTGCTGATTCTGCAGGTGGTCACTCAGAGAAGAGGAAGTACCATTGTTTACCTAGTCATTCCCCAGATGTTTTCTGAGAAAGTCCCTGTGTCACAGACTCTTGACGTATTTGAGATATAGCAGGGGACAAAACAGACAGAACTCCCTGTCCTCATGGTGCTGATATTTTCTTTTCTTTTTTAATTTTTTTCTTTATTAAAACATCACTATGTACATTAAGCTGCCGATATTTTCATGGAGACACATGGACAGTGAATATCTAAAAAGTGAATATATAATATGTCAGGTGAAGCTAAGTTTTTTGTTTGTTTGTTTGTTTGTTTTGAGACAGAGCCTCAAGCTGTCCCCCTGGGTAGAGTGCCGTGGCATTACAGCTCACAGCAACTTCCAACTCCTGGGCTCAAGCAATTCTTCTGTCTCAGCCTCCCAAGTAGCTGGGACTACAGGCGCCCACCACAACGACTGGCTATTTTTTGCTTGTAGTTGTCATTGTTTGGCAGGCCTGGGCTGGATTTGAACCCACCAGCTCAGGTTTATGTGACTGGTGCCTTGGCCGCTTGAGCTACAGGTACCGAGCTGTAAAAGTAAGTTTTAAGATAAGAAATTAAGCTAGGTAAGGACATGATGCCCAGGGTCAGGTAGGGTCAGGTGTTCTTTGGCACACGGTGGTGCCAAAGATCTCTTTGAACAGAGATCTGAAAGCAACCAGGGAGTGAGCAGGGATACACTCAGCCTATTCAAGGAAAGAGCAGGGAAGCCAGCATGGCAAGAGGGAGTTGAGGAAATCAGAGAGAGCATTGGGATCCACTCCTATAGGTGGGCAAGCATGGAGCAGACAGATTTCTGGGAAGCCACTCTCATATCCAGGCAGAGGTGGCGGGGGCTTGGTCTACTGAGTAGCAGGGGAGGAGATGAAAAAGCCACTGAAGGCTAAATGTATTTCAGAGACCCAGTGGACAGGCTTGCTGGTGGATTAGAGTTAGAAGATTGAAAAAGAAGGGGACAGTCAAGGAAGGCTTTTGGCTTTGGGACAGGAGCCAGTGGTAGGACAGAGATGGTTATTTACTCAGCCAGTGATGATGAACCTAAAGGGCTGCTTGAGATTAAGGAGTTTTGTTTTAGATGTGTTAAGTTTGATATGCCTTTGAGACATCCAAGTAGAAAGATTGTGTGGGCAGCTGAATGGATATATGAATCTGGAAGGCAGAGACAGGTCTGGGACCAGAGATATAAATTTGGGAGTTGTCTGTGTATTGATAGTGTTGGGACCTGTGAGGCTGGTGAGATCACCCCAGAAATGCTGGCAGTTGAAAGGGTCAGGAATCTGAGTCACCTGGCATCTGGCCCTTAGGGGGACTGAGCCCCATAGAACTGTGGTCCCAAATCCCCAGGATGGACAGGTAGTGGTCCCTGGCCTGTTAGGAACCAGGCTGCACAGCAGGAGGTAAGCAGCAGGCAAGTGGGCAAAGCTTCATCTGTATTTACAGCCGCTCCCCTTTGCTCACTGATTCCACATTATGGTGAGTTGTATAATTATTTCATTATATATTACAAAGTAATAACAATGGAAATAAAGTATACAATAAAGGTAATGTGCATGAATCATTCCCAAACCACCCCGCCAGCCCCCGGCATTGTGGGAAAGTTATCTTCCATGGAACCAGTCCCTGAGGCCAAAAGAGTATAGAGGGGGGCTAGGAGGTGCAGCTGGGAGGCAGGTGAGCAGAGAGGGCAAGTTCCTAATGGACAAAGGAGATTGCTGGGCAAAGCGGGGAGAAGGAACAGCTCAGTGGCCTCTATAAATGGGTCATATTAGGTGAAGGTGGGGAAGAGGAGGACTAGTGTGACCACATAGGGTGAGGGCCTGTGGGTGTCTGGCAGGGCTGTGGGTGAGCCCATGTCTGGGCCCTCCCTTTCCCCCCGGCCGGCATGCCCTGACCCCAGCAGAGCCTGTTGCCTTGAGGTCTGCTCACTTTTGTACTTCCTTTTGAGATGCTTCACCCAGCTCTCCTGAACACTGGAGACCCCCTTTGCTTAGAACACTCTTCTGAAAACACAGGGCTCCAGGTGGCTGTTCATGTGCTGCCCAAGGTAGAAATACCACCAAGAGCTCCCCGTTGAATTCCTAAGCACACGTGCATTCTTTATATTAAAAACAACTAAATCTTCCTAGGCTTTGAGTAAGTGTGACAGCATCCACTCATCAGTCAGAAGAGTCCTGCTTTCGGCAGGGAATTGTGTATGTGTGTCTGTTGCTTTTTGCTTGATCTCTTTCCTCACTTCAACTGTCTCTGTGTCACTGCCTCTCTCTGCCTTTTCTGCAAACATTCCCTGCAGTGTCCCCTCTGGGCCAAGATTAGGGCTGGGTGGGATCCTGAGGATTAGGCATGGTCTCTGCCTTACAGGAGCTCCTGGCTACTCCCTCTGGCCCAGCTCTGCCACCCGCCAGTAGTATGACTTTGGGAGCTGCAGCTGCCCTGTGCTGTGGTCCATAGGAAAGAGCACCTCAGAGACTGGAAGAAGATTCAGGAGCTTCTGAGCTATCTCTGTGCTCTGGCAGAGGGTTGGCCTGAGCCTAGTCACACCCTCCCTGCAGGTAAGAGGTGCTGAGCCTCTCAGGCTGTCTCTGACCACTCTGAGGCCAACCAGCATTTGTTAAGCACCTGCCTTGTGCCATGCACAGGACTCAGGGTGGAATGCAGAGATGACAACAGAGGGTCCCCACTCTGAGAGCTGGCAGGTCAGAGAGGGTAGGAAGGGAAAAGGCAAAGAACCAGCAATTTCCAATGTAACAGTGAGCACTGCAGGTGCGCAGCAGAGAGAATAGCCTCAGCTTGGTCAGGGAGGGCAGCACAGAGCAGCAGCTTCCCCCAAACCCTCTGTGAGGCTGGGCAGATGCTCCACAGGGCATGCAAGATGTGACATGGGTAGGAGAAGAGTGGGCCCTGGCTAGAGGAGCTGTGGGAGCAAAGTCCAGGCCGTCTGCTGAGTGAATGCAGTCTGGGGTGACTGGGACATGAGAGAGACCTCTCAAGATTTCCCCACGCAAAAAATTGGATGGAACCAGGCAGGGATTCGCTGGCTTCCTCCCCTTCAGGAAGGACTAGAGTAGCTGGTGGAGCTGCTCTGATGATGCATGGCTCTGTGGCAGGTCAGTGGCAGGAGGCCATGGGTAATCTAATTAGTGTGCCTGGCGATGGGACAGTAATCCTGTGCCTTTAGACTCACTTTTCTTTAATCCTGTCTCCACCCCTTTGCTCTCTAAATCCTTCTATTGCCTTGGTGACATCAGGCAGAACTGGACTTACCTCCATTGAACAGATGGGTGGACCAGGGCTAGAAAGGAGAACGCTTCCACGATGCCACAACTAACAAGTGGCAAGGAAGAGCTTTGAACTGGGCTGGTCCCACCTCTGTCATATCCTGGGCTCTCTTAGACTATCCAGGCTTATAAACTGCCTTTCCAGTGTCCTCAATTGGAGGCCCAGAGAAGGAAAGACACTTGGCCAGGGCCACAGAACAAGTCAAGGGCAGAACTGGCACCAGAATCTCAACTGGCCTATTTGTGTCCCCTGCCCTCCCCCCCCCGCCCCCCACCAGTGGGTGCAGAGATCTTACCCTGGGCCCTGCCCACTTCTGCTTGGAGCATCCACTGCCCTTGATTTTCCTGCAGCCTTTGGCACTGGCTCGGTGGAAGGCACCAAGTTCCTCATCAGAAGGCTCCATTGTGCCTATTGTTTAAATATAGATTACTAATGAAATGCCTTTTCATTGCCTTCCCAGTGAATAGTTTCCGTGTAAAGTTAATTTGCAGTGTTATGTAAATTCTGTTTAACTTCAATCAAGTTTCTAATTATGTTTTTACCGCAGTAATTCCCA